CATTGTATTCATCGTATTAAAAATAATTATGGTCTCAATGGGATGTTTGATCTTAGTTGACTCATGGCATATTATACCCATCGCTGGACAAGACTTTACTTATTTTTTAGCTGCACATAATAAATACTCCCAAACATGTTGTTTAAAAGAAGAGGGTAACAGTCAAAGTCTGTTTTTTTTAAATTTATGATTGTACATTCATATGGCTATACAGACTACTCCCCCCTAATATTAATCTTTTTCTGTTCTGATGGATCTTTGATTTTGCATTAATTTGGAGAAAGGAGCTGTTGAGGATTTTTATAGTTAAATTTGCATCATTTACCTTTTTGAAAAATTCTCAGTGGTGTGACAAAAAGGGGTTTATTTACTAAAGCTGGAGAGTGCAAAATCAGACTCCCTTCTGCATAGAAACCAATCAGCTTCCAGGTTTCATTGCCAAAGCTTCATTGAACAAGCTGAGGTTAGAAGCTGATTAGTTTCTATGCAGAAGGGAGTCTGATTTTGGACTCTCCGGCTTTAGTAAATAAACCCCAAAGTGTCAGGGGGATGACCCATGACGTCTTTATGTACAGACAGTGTCGGAACAATCTCATACATGAACTGATGTATTAACACCCCTTGAAAGCCTGAAGGTGCTCATTGAATTGTGGGCCCCTGTGTGTGGCTATACTGCCAAAAAGTCACTCCCCATACTTGGAAGAAGTATCAGAATGTATTTTGGGGTGTAATTCCATGTATACCCAAGTATACCTATAGCATGTGTGAGAAACATCTCATTAAAGTATAAACATTTTTTTTTTAACTTTTGGCAAAAAATAAAATCTTCCATGGATTCAACATGCTTCTCAAAATACCTTGGGGTGTCTACTTTCCAAAAAGGGGTCGTTTAGGGGAGTGATTGAACTGTCCTGGCATTTCAGGGCCTCTAAAAAACTTTACATGTATGGCCAGCATTAGGAATTTTTGCCACACTCATGTTCATTCTTTGCACGAAGGTGAAAAACATTATGCGCGCTGATTCCCCCACAGGCCCCCCTAATACTCACCTGAGTCCCCTCTCGATACAAAGTGAGCATGAGAGCTTTGGCTGTCCTGGGTCTCTAGCCATTGGCTCCCACTACTGTCAAACACAGGGTAGCACAGTGACTAAATGGTTAGCACTTCCGCCTGGCAGTACTAGGTCATTGGTTCGAATCCCAGTCATGGCACCACCTGCCTGGAGTTTGCATGTTCTCCCTGTGCCTGCATGGATTTCCTCCAGGTACTCCGCTTTCTTCCCACATCTCCAAAGACATGCTGGTAGGTTAATTGGCTCCTGTCTAAATTGTCCCTAGTATGTGTATGTATGAATGTGAGTTAGGGACCTTAGATTGTACACCCCTTGAGGGTTAGGGACCCAATGTACAATATATATGGAAAGAGCTCTGTAAATTGACGGCGCTATATAAGTACCTGAAATAAATAAATAAATAATAAATAAATAAATCACAGCCAGTGAGCTGATGGGGGGGGGGAGGGGGGGGGGCAATCCACAGCTCTACATGTCCTATGGAAACATAGAGCAGATCTCGGGAGCGAGCATGCACCCGTTCTATGATAGCAAGCAGCTTGCTATTGGGGGGCATTATTTAAGGATGAGAGGCCAGGAGTTCTGGCTTGGAACCTGAGAAGAAAAGGATTGGGGGTACGCTATTCAAAACCATTGCACAGAGTATAACATGTTAGTGATTTTTAAAGAAAAAAAAAACAACGCTTTAATCTAACACCATGCCCTTTTTTAGATATTCAAAATGAAAAACAACAAGCAAGACACTATTTAGGTTCTGTACTTGCATGTTCTTTAAAAGAATAAAGCATGGGAAATGTATGGCATATTTTCTCCCCTGAAATGCACTTTAATTAAATTTCACACCAGGACCCTTTTCCTACTTGAAGTATATACAGTAGAGGAAGGCACCATACAGAAGGCCAACAAAGTCTATAAGAAAAAACACAGGGCCAGTGTACCTTATTTGCAAGCACTTGCAAGCTATTATAATGGGACTGAGCAGGGGCAGACTGACAACTCATGGGGGCCCCGGGCAATAGGGGATCATGGGGCCCCTGTGTCCAAACTCAAAAAAGCCTATGAAAAAGGTACCAGGGGCATCTCATGGGGCCCCCTACTGACCCCGGGCTCTCGGGCAGTGCCCCGAGTTTCCAAAATGGTCAGTCCGCCCCTGGGACTGAGTGATACAGAAGGTATAAATTCTGAAATAATATATAAAGTGTAAAAAGTAAGTACATAGAAGCCAATACATTTTCTTCTTCATGTAGCAATAAATAGTTAGAATGTCATCTACTAAAAGAGAAAAAAAATCTAAAAAATAATACATCAATTATTATAGATCCCATGACAATATCAATAAGCATTTCATATTCCCTGTAGCTCCCGTGATTTATTCTGCTTAGCTATAAAAGCCACAACTCCGCTACTCTGTGATCACAACATTCAACATTTACATGGCAAATGTTTATGGGTGAGCTGAATGATGTTGTTATTAATAATAATAATAATATTAATAATAATATTTAAACACATAAAATGAACATTTTATTTTTTATAGGTTAATGATGATATTTTTAAGATTGTTATGGAGCAAAAAGATTGAAATTGAACGTTTTGCACTGGTAAAATTAAATCATACACATTTTTCAGTCTATACTTTGACAGCTATTTTGCACATTTTTGCTACCCCCGAGCACTGTGATATTTTTTTCTAGCAAACCTACTTTTATTTTTTATTTTTTATCAGCAATTCCTTAAGTACAATAGCTCAATCACTGGTTTTATCCAGTAAAAAGGTGTCCAAGGAAATCTATACACTATAAAGCACTGCTTCTTTTTGTACTGTCAGAAATAATATTTTATAAAAGTAAACATTACTTAGTTATCACAGCACAGGATGCACCCCGCATTGAAGAAGGAAATTGGTGGAGCCCAACACTACATGTACAATGTCTTTCTTAAAATGAATCAGGTCTAGGTCCGGTATTCCACAATTAGGTGTAAGAACTGTAATATTTTTGTCAGCCAATCATATTACTGTGCCTCATTCAGTTACCACTTGACTGCATCTTAAATTCTGTATTGTGTTGAGTGTATTGGTAATTGTGGAAGCTGCCTTCATTTCTAATGCTACTTAAAATGTTTCTTTATATTTTAAAGCCTTCGTATTTTATTAGCTATTAGTTCATGTTTCTCTTCCTTCCTTGCTCACTCTTTTTTCAACTACTTAAATTTTTTTACTTTCACCCTCTCCCTCAATTAAATTTCAGCGCAAATCATTTGATTGTCTGAATGAACTCGCCCTAAAAAATATATGTTGTACGCTTGGATAATGGATGAGAAAAATAAGACCGTCATTGATGTGATCCACCTCTTAGGGTTTCAGACTCCACATGCTGTAACATTTTTGTTATTATTTTTATTTCTTCTGATATATTATGTGACCATATGTGGAAACCTCCTGATTATCTCACTGGTGTCCTACAGCAAAGCCCTCCATTCTCCCATGTACTTCTTCCTCACCCAACTGTCTGTAACGGATATTTTATTAGCAACGGATGTTCTTCCTACCATGTTTCAGTCTATGTCGGAGAAAAATACCGCCATCATTTCACTTTCTGATTGTTTCACCCAGTTTTTTTTCCTTGCTGTCTCAGAATCCTCGGAGTGTCTTCTGCTGACAGCGATGTCTTACGACAGATATGTGGCCATCTGTAAACCATTGCATTATACTTTATTAATGAGTCATCAGCATTGCTGGATAATAGTTATAGCAAGTTGGATTTCAAGTTTTCTTTCTGGATTGCTTTTTACTTTAGAGGTGTCAACGTTACAGTTTTGTGGCCCCAATATTATCGACCATTTTTTCTGCGATCTTGACCCCATTCTAAAACTTTCCTGCTCTGATACAACCATTGTTCAAATAGAAGCAATATCAACAAGTGTAGTTTTTGGTTTTCTCTCCAATTAGTATCATCATTGTATCATATGTTTATATTATAGTCACTATTTTTAAAATCCCATCTATTAAAGGTAGACAGAAAGTGTTCTCAACATGCAGCTCCCACCTAATTGCTGTTTCCATGTATTACGGTACATTAATTTTTGTGTATTTGGTCTCTAGGAGAGGACAGTTATTGAACTTTACTAAATTCCTATCAATACTGTACACCGCGTTAATCCCGTTGATGAATCCAATTATATACAGCCTAAGAAATAAGGATTTGAAACAAGTTGTAGGTAGAATTGTCAACAAGCTGCATTTACATCCTTGATACATTTTACAGGTATGAAAGTTGTAATTTAATAATATTACCTCCCCCACCCTTCTGGTTCTCTGGAGGTATATCCTCAAATCATGGGTCTCCATCAAGACTTTACCCAGTATAAATCTGCCCTTCAAATATACAATTTTTGCCTCCACACTGCCAATCATGTAACAGCACCCCCATTCTTTGGTAGCATCCACAATCCACATAATCTACTTTCTGTTCCACTTCTTCCTAACAGCAGTCTCCATTTATTATGTGCCCTTGGAATGCTTGTTCTGTAACAAACTCACCTCTGTACATCGCCTTTTTATAACAAACGTACCAGCTGTTACTGAAACCTGGCTTCAAGAATTTGACTCTGCCTCTACTGCTGCCCTCTCGCTTGGTGGCCTCCTTTGGATTCACTCTCCCAGACCCAGTGGATGGAAGGGAGTTGGAGTTGGAATCCTAATATCCCCACTAAACAACATTAGGGTTTTTCACTCACCTCCCTCCCTGTCCCTTGGATCAATTGATGCTCACTGTATTCATCTATTTTTGCCATTTTCTTTGAAAAAAGCTGAGATCTACTGGTTTTCTGGATGGATATTAAGCTTCCTTGATGACTTGCCAGACTAACCTACTTTCTCTCTTTTCCCACAGTCTTTCTCTCTGGTGCAGTGGCAGATTGACAATTCATGGGGCCCCCAGGCAATAGGGGATCATCGGGCCCCTGTGTACTTGCCCAAACTCAAAAAAGCCTATGAAAAAGGTACCAGGGGCATCTCATGGGGCCCCCTACTGATCCCGGGCCCTCGGGCAGTGCCCGAGTGGTCAGTCCGCCCCTGCTCTGGTGTCATTATCCCTGTTAGTATAAACACTCCAGGCAACTTCTAAAATTCTCAGCCCAACCTCCTCTTTTGAACTAAAACAATAGACACATGCTTCTACTCTGCTGGCAGCTCCCTTGACCTTGCATTCTCCAATTTATGCATTTCTTGAAACCTCTCCAACAATCTTTTCCACCTCTATGATCCCTACCTTATTAGCATCACTCTTTCCCCCTCTTCCACCTGTTCTTCCTTCAACTGCCTAACATTTAGCCATAGGAGCCTTCAACACTGTAACCCTTCCCCTCTATAACTTGCAACAGATTACCGCTGTGATACAATCTCACCCGCGTCTTGCCCCAACCTAGCCAGTTCCATCTACAACAGTTCAATCTAATAATTCCTGGACACACTAGTCCCCTCACTACACACAGAATCATGCGCCAACCAATGCAACTTTTGCAGACAGATACTAGAAGTCTCAAAAAGCGTAGCCACTCTCGTGGGCATCTGTCCAAGCCCCGGCAAGTCTTTACCCAGTATAAATCTGCCCTCCAAATATACAATTTTTGCCTCCACACTGCCAATCTATTTTATCACTCTCAATAACACCCTCTTATGAGGTCCCTTTCATCCCTTCAGCTCTTTTCTACCTTTAACTTTCTACTTTTTCCTTCACTGCTTCTACCTACTAACTCAACTCAGGAGAATGAAAATCACTTAAAAAAATGGATTGATGTAATTTTTCATGAGAACTCCACTGTACAGATATCTCTGTCTCCCACACCTACTATTCCATGTCCACCTGCACACTGAATACTTTCCTTATTTAGCCCTGCTACCAGGGGTGGACTGACAACTGATGGGGCCCCTGGGCAATAGGGGATCATGGGGCCCCTGTGTCCTTGCCCAAACTCAAAAAATCTATGGAAAAGGTACTAGGGGCATCTCATGGGGCCCCCTACTGACCTCGGGCCCTCGGGCAGTGCCCGAGTTTCCAAATGGTCAGTCCGCCCCTGCCTGCTACTATATAGGGGGTCTCTAAACTTTTTCTCTAATGCCTACCTAGCCATCTGCCTCCAAACCTTGCTCCCTTGCATATACTATGGTCACCCTCTTGCTCTATCCTACACTCTCACATCTTCAGTCTCTCCCTCTTTACTGGCATTTTCACTAACCTTAGAAAACAGACACTTGCTATGGGAGCATTAGTGTGGGCTTGCTCCTGAGCCGCACTCTTTGTGTCATCAACACACACAACATGGCTTTCTCCAGCATCCCACTCTATCTTTACTGGCTGTTATTGACAGCAGCAGGAGCCAATGGCCGCCCACTGCTGTCTCTGAGCTAATGAGGAAGGAGAAAGCATAGAGCTGTAACGAGAGAGGGCTCAGGTAAATATAAGGGGGGGTTGTGGGGGGAACTTGCACGCAGAAAGTTTTTTAACTTAACACAGAAAATGCATTGAGGTAAAGAAACTTATACCTTTAAAACCACCTTAGGGCTTTGAAAATAGAACATACTATCAATGATCATATGTGGGGGAACCTTGCAAAGAACACTTTGTCATTTTTTTTAAAACAAAAAAAAACTGATAATGATAAAGTTTAAAGAGGTTAAACATTTTTTTTTTCCCATAAAGTTTATTAGAAAACTCAGAGCATACAATAGGTACAGGTAATACAAGGTATCAGTCGGAAATACAATAGGAGGTAATACACATACAGCAAACAAAAAGATACATAGCAATACATAGACAAAGAATGAGACGGAAGTCATCCCAGGGTGAGGTTAAACATTTTTAAACTTCTTTCAGCTCCTTTTTTTGCAAACAGGTTTAATCATGGAAAACCAAAGTTTCCCCTTTTTTTTTAAACTTAGGAAAGAGGAAAAGGAGTACAAAAAAATGTTTTGTCTTGCTGTAGTAGGTAAATGTATTCATGTATTCACTAAAAAGAAGTATGCTTATTTCTGAGTGAACTGTCTTTAAATTTCTATGATCTGGATTTTCCCTAAGAACAATGTATACAGTTTATATTGAATGGTACCTAGCTTTCTGTGGTGGAGCAAAATCTCTACTTGGAGGAAATGCCATTGGCTCTTGTTAGAGATCGTTTTTGTCTTTTATAGAGATACTCTTTCACCTCCATTTCTTGGTCCTCATGGTAAAACTGCATGTACTGGGCTCAAAACACAGATGGGGCATATCCACTAATGCAGAATTCCACTACATCCTGAGGTGATCCTGATTTGGATGTCCGAAAATTGCTGAAGAGCAACATCCAGACCTGCAGCAACTGCTAGTTACAATAATTTTTTTTTTAAACAACCCTGATGTTGTGCTTACAAAGACTGTATACCTTGCTCTTTATGTTTCAAAGAGGACTTGTCCGATCACCTGAAATGATGAGGAAGAAGAGTCTGTAGGCCTGAATAACTGTCCAGCTCCTGCTGGTAACCAATATCAAAAGGACATTTAGCAGGATGTAGAGTAGAGCCTTGACAGTTTCAGTCAACCTCATTTTACGACCGAGGAGGAAATAGTTGTCCAATGTCTGTTTCTAGTATGCCTAATGGAAGTGTTTTTTGCTGGTTACTTGGAAAATTCATTTAAACAGTTCTATAACTCCTGTTCTATTGTATATGGTTTCATTGTAACATACTAGATTTTGTTGACAGCTGATTGGATCAACACAGCTTCTTCCTTAGCTGAATAGACATTGATTTTGATAAGAGAAGAGTCTCTATTCCTTCAGGAAAGCAACCACATTTTAATCGGCTGCCAATGGGCCACAACAGACCAGAAAATGCAACTTTACAATTTTTCCAGGCCCCAAAAACCAAAAACACATGGTAGTACATTGTCGTGCGTTGTGGAGTTGGCGTACTCCCGCACATGCGCAGTTCGCGCGCTTGCAGAGGCGCGATCTGTCACCGGCCGTGTAGCTCGGACACGGCCGATGACAGATCTGAGTATCGGCCCCCATTGCCGGTACCGTGTGACCTGTTGTGACCAATCACAGCAGGTCACATGACAGTTGTATACAATGGATGGCTTCATTCAATCCATCCATTGTATACTAGTGTCTAGCTGTGAATGGTCCCAGAGATCACATGCACATGTCATGTGATTAGCTGTGGCCAAATCACAGCTAAGCACAAAAAAAAATAAACCCTGAATGAATCGATTTCATTCAGGTAAATGCTTGCTTATAGCAAAGTAATTCTTTGCTATAAGCAAATTTGTGTAAAAAAAAAAATACTGATAACTTCCCCAAAGTAGTACAATGTTACCATGGTAACATTGTAACTACTTTGGTCATAGTGAAATACGAAAAAAAAATCTTAAAAAAAGAAAAAAAAGTAATAAAAAATTTTAAATAATAAAAAAAAGAAAAAAAAAAAAATTTTTTTTTTCACACTGTCACCAGTCAGTGTCCCTGTTCACCGCCATGCCAGTTATATGATGACGCTGTACTGCACTGGTGACAGTATGTAAAAAAAAATAGTGAAATTAATTTTTTATATTTTTTCATTTTCTGAAAAATTATGACAAAAAAAAATACAACTTCAAAAAACTCGCCATGCCTCTTATGAAGTACGTCGGACTGTCTACTCTGCAAAAAGGGGTTATTTGGGGGATATCTGTGCTGTCTTGACATTTGGGGGATATCTGTACTGTTCTGACATTTGGGGGATATCTGTACTGTCCTGACATTTGGGGGATATCTGTACCGCTCTGACATTTGGGGGATATCTGTACTGTTCTGACATTTGGGGGATATCTGTACTGTTCTGACATTTGGGGGATATCTGTACCGTTCTGACATTTGGGGGATATCTGTACTGTCCTGACATTTGGGGGATATCTGTATCGTTCTGACATTTGGGGGATATCTGTACTGTCCTGACATTTGGGGGATATCTGTCCTGTCCTGACATTTGGGGGATATCTGTCCTGTCCTGACATTTGGGGGATATCTGTACTGTGCTGACATTTGGGGATATCTGTACTATTCTGACATTTGGGGGATATCTGTACTGTCCTGACATTTGGGGGATATCTGTACTGTCCTGACATTTGGGGGATATCTGTACTGTTCTGACATTTGGGGGATATCTGTACTGTTCTGACATTTGGGGGATATCTGTACTGTCCTGACATTTGGGGGATTTCTATACTGTTCTGACATTTGGGGGATATCTGTACTGTTCTGACAATTGGGGGATATCTGTACTGTCCTGACATTTGGGGGATATCTGTACTGTTCTGACATATGGGGGATATCTGTACTGTCCTGACATTTGGGGGATATCTGTACTGTTCTGACATTTGGGGGATATCTGTACTGTTCTGACATTTGGGGGATATCTGTACTGTCCTGACATTTGGGGGATATCTGTATTGTTCTGACATTTGGGGGATATCTGTACTGTTCTGACATTTGGGGGATATCTGTACCGTCCTGACATTTGGGGATATCTGTACTGTCCTGACATTTGGGGATATCTGTACTGTCCTGACATTTGGGGGATATCTGTACTGTTCTGAAATTCTTGGACCTCAAGAAATTAGATTGGCTGTCAGTACTTCAGGATTGATCAATATTCAGATCTATACCATAGTTTGTGAACTCTATAACTTTCCTACAAACTAAATAATACATCCTAATTTGGGTTATTTTCACCAAAGACATGTAGCAGAATACATCTCGGCCTAAATTTATGAAGAACAATTATTTATTTGTAAACTTTTATAACAGAAACAAAAAAAATGTGTTTATTTTTCAAAATTTCTGGTCTTTTTTTGTTAATTTAGCAAAAAATAAAAACCCCGGCAATGAATAATTACCACCAAAAGAAAGGTCTAGTTGTGTGAAGAAAATGATAAAATTTTAGCTTGGGTACAATGTTGTATGACCGCGCAATTGTCATTCAAAGTGTGAGAGCACCGAAACATGAAAAATGGCCTGGGCAGGAAGGGGGAAAATTGCCCGGTATTGAATTGGTTAAGTACCATTTTAATTAATATTATTTTTGTATTAGATTATGTTGTAATTTAACTATTTTTAGATGGGCAATATTGTTGTATTTACAGGTTAATGTTTGTTTTTTGGAACATAACGCATATCATGAGTTTACCTAGGGTTGGGGTTTTAAGATCAGCATTCTAGGATTTTTAATAATATTAATAATTTCTGTGTTGTTAGCAGCTGTATTTGGGATGGTTAATTGACACATTTAAAAGATGCAAGATTCATATTTCGGTGGCACAGTGGCTTAGTGGTTAGCACTTCCGTCTGGGAGTACTCGGGTCGTTGGTTTGTATCCCAACCACGGCACCACCTGCCTGGAGTTTGCATGTTCTCCCTGTGCCTGTGTGGTTTCCTCCCACACACCAAAGACAGGCAGGTAGGTTAATTGTATCCTGTCTAAATTGTCCCTAGTATGTGTATGTATGAATGTGAGTTAGGGACCTTAGATTGTACGCCCCTTGAGGGTTGGGACTGAAGTGAATGTACAATATATATATATATATATAAGTAAAGTGCTGTGTAAATTGACGGCGCTATATAAGTACCTGAGATAAATAAATAAATATTTCAGGAAGTAGGTAGGGTTGTGCATGACTGCTGCTGATGGCATCCAAGTTGATGAAATGCATTGGGTGGAGCCTACACACATTGAGGTCATCACGTTCCAGGGAAGGAGGAGAGCACAGTAAGAATAGATGTCCTGGAGCAGCTCTGGGTACTCCTCCAGACCACAAAATTGTAGCCATTTCACCCTAACTGCTGGGATAGCACTTTTTTTTATTCTAAGCGTCTCTCCATTTTTATTCTTAAAGTAGAACTATAGGCAAAACCTTTTATTCATTTGAGATAGATTAGAGTAACTCCTGTCTGATTTTTTTTTTTCATCATCTGTGTCCCATTGTGGAGATTTTTCTTCACTTCCTGTCCCATAGCAAAAGAGAAGTGAGAGGAAATCTCTGCAAATTCCTTGGAGACCCCCAGCTCA